TGTGTGAATTACTGTACTGGTTCTTCTCAACACTCACCTGCCTGCCTAATGCACAGAAATAATTTAATCAGAGTAACAAACACAAAGAAATTAAGCAGAGCAGAGATTTCCTGCTTTGTGGCTTCAGCACAGTTTATCAAATAAAAGAACTGAGACTCCTGAGAACTGTTTACAAGTAAACTATGAAAATCCTCATGGTGACTAGCAGAATGAAATGTACCCTTTGGAACTCATCTATCTTCAGACTCACTGATGCATTTGTATAATGCCAAAGAAACTCAGCATAAGTTAATAGTTTTCATTAAATATTGTTTCAATGTAAGAATTTTAATCACTCTGGTTGAATTATGGATTCAAATTTGGATCCCTCCAAGATGTAAAGAGCTCACATACAAGCACAATAGATCATCAACTATTCAAAATTAAAGTCATAAAAAACCAAAAAGTTTCAATCTAAGAATGCCAAGAGCATGTTCAAGAGTAAAACTATTAACCACAGAATAGAAATAATGATCTCAAATTTGGAAATATTACAGTTCACATCATAAACTAAAAGACAGAAATACATTAGTAGAAAATAAGACCAGAAGAAAATATTCCAAACACCACACCTAATTCATCAAACTGTTACTGAAAATCCCAGGGCCTGAGATTGATTAAGGTCATCATTAATAACCCAAGAGGCAGGACAAAACACAACCTCAGCAAAATTACAGATGATACAAATCCAGAAGGGATGGTTGATGGATCAGCTGGTTGTACTGCTGCTGGCTGCAGAAAGGCAGACAGGAATGACAAGTTCAACAAAAGGAAATGCAGACTCCTGCAGCTGAGGAAGATTAAATAATCCCATGAACCACCAGCAGATGCTGACTCTGGGAAAGACTCCGAGTGTCCTGGTGAAAGCAGACAGGACATGGGAAAAAAGGGCATTGCAGCAAAGGTGATCAACAGTGTCCTGTGCTGCATAAGGATGAGAACAAAATTATAAACTGATATAGGAAAGCAAACCCTGAGTCACTATCAGAACATGACAGAACTGAACAAACACGTCTCTGTCAATATTTAGTGAGAGAATTTAATATACAGTGATATAACCGAAGTCCCCCTCCTCCTTAGGGACAGAGTCAGTCTAAATAGATGAGGCAGGGAAGAGGAGAAAGGAAATACTATCATTAGAAAACTGAGGCACTGAGCAATAGTGCTCAGGAAGTTTTTAGAAGAGCCAGAATAATTAGAATCTCTAGAAGTCTATCACTGAGCCACAAAGTCACCTTGCTTTTTAAGCCTTAAAATAGATTTTTTTTTTTACCTCTAGTTCAGTATCTTTGACAGGAAACATCCTCTGCTTTCAGGATTTGCAGGAGATTTTCCCAGATCCAATAATTCTCGTTGATTCCCAAAATCTTTGATCCCAGTCAAGTTTTCTTCTTTTTTCTTTTTTTAAAGAGCTTCTTTGGAATAAAATTTCATGTTGTTCACAGCATTTAAAGGCTCCTGGGATAAAGCAATTGTAAAACACACCTTGGAAGTAGATACAATTCATTCTCAAGGAAGACAGGGAGCATCTGTCAGATTGAATTCTAGAGAAAAAGAAATATTTACCTTGTGAATTTCGTGGGCTTAAGCGCAATGTAGGTATGTATATATCAAGCAGGATGAAGTTAAACATGTATATCACTCCAAAAGTAATTCTCCCTACTTATTTCCATGGAAACTACAACTGATACAAAGAGCACAATAACACTAGTTGATAGAGCAAATGCTCAGATATAAAACTCTATTCTTTGACACAGTCATCATCATCACTAACTTTGCATTTTTGCCCACAATAAACAATCTTTACCAGCACAGATGATCCACTGTTTCACAGCTGCTGTGACAGCATTGTTGCTAGGAAAATGTTGCCATGCATCCATCTTTCCTTGGCCTGAACAGGTGGAAGTCAGAAGGCACCAAATCCAGTCTATCCGCTGGGTGTGGTAGGACAGCCCAGCCAAGATTGGCACTGTGCTCCATGGTCTTTATGCTGGTATGGGGCCTGGTGTTACCATGTTACAAGAGAAAGGTTGTGTTATTGTTTTATGATCTTTGTTATCAGTATTCCACATCATAACATCACATAGTGCACTGAGAGTTAAAGAGTTAAAGCTCCAGTTCCACAGATTCCACAGATTGTCAATATTTCCAGGCACCTAGTTCTCAGAAGAGAAGACTTTTACTGTTCTGTTTCCATTTTCTATTTAGAGGGAAAGATAAAACAACAGAATGAAATAGGAGACATAACTTTAGAATCAGATCTCATTAAGGAATACCCCTGGATAGGCATAGAGGCCCTGGCTTCTCCAGAAATTAGAAGGGCAGCATTTCACAGTAACTTCAAGTCAAATGGAAGGGAAATTGTGGAGGCATTCTCCATCCCTAGTGCCCAAATGCTGCCAGTACATGGGAAAAATGACAAAATCTCCCTGAAGAAGAAAAAGAATCAATCGTGGAATTTGTAATTAGGATACTTACCTGAAAAAAGAAATGTGCAAGATGAAAAGTCTTCTACTTACTTGCAGTCTGTTCAGTGAATGTGAACAAAAGGTTTATAGAAAAACAACAACAACAACAAAAAACCATGAGCTGGAAGTTGCACAGTTACAAACAAGCAAAATAAAAAGTCACCTTAAAAAGTCACCTTCTTACTGTCTGGCCCACAGAAATCTTGACTTGAAACAGGGTTTCAGAAAGAGAGGCTCAGAATACCCTCTCCTGTATGACTTCATGTAATTTTAACTCTGAAAATGAGACACTTCCTACATAAGTAAGAAACGCAGATTTTATCTTCTCAAGAGGCGAGAGCTGAAACTGTGTTTTCCTCTTGCAAACAAAAACCAGAATTGAGCTCTAGCAGTGTTCAAAACTGCTTCATGTTAAAGGGGAAATAATCCACTGCTGTCTGGACTCTTCAGGGTAACAGTTTAGAGATGAAGATGGATCATGCCACATATATTCTCTCAAAATCAACAAAACTTCCAGAAGCTTTTATGTACTGGCAGAAAAGAAGCAGCTCTGTTAAAATACAATAAAATGAAATAAAAGGCACTCACTGTCTCAAAGAACATTAGAAAAAGTGCCCTATTACATAACAGTTATTTGTAATGATTATTCATACAGCTGGATCCTGCCACACCGCGTGAGAACTGTCACACTATGGATATGCTATGTGAGGTGCTGGGAAGGTTGGCAAAGATCTGTACCAGCTGGTCTGCTTTAAAGATGGAGAAAATGGTGAAAGTGGAGGAGGAGGACTGAAAGCACTTGTACACAAAACAAAAGGCAAATCAGTATCAGAGTGGTTCTGGAATTGTTGAAAAGTAACTGAAACCAGAGCTCCACCTCGCTCAGTAAAACCCCCCGGCCACCCCAGGGACAGGTTCAGCGCATCGCCGCTCCTTCTGAAACGTTTTTACCCCCAACCCGAACTCCCCTGCTGCAACCCGAGGCCGCTCCCTCGCGTCCCATCGCCGTTACCTGCAGACAGCGGCCCCCCCGCCCCCCCCGCAGCCTCCTTCCAGCTCCCCGCTGAGAGCTGCCAGCCCTCCCGTTACAGACGGGTGACAACGAGCTCCTGAGGGGAGCGGAGAGTTCCCCCTGGCGGCTGCCACACGAACGGCTCCAGCGCCGTTCTCAGCAAAAAAAAAAAAAAAAAACCGAACTGAAGAAAAAAGAAAGCGCGTAATGGAACAGGTGCATTTCGAGAAAAGAAGCAGCGAGTACCGAGGATGAGGCGACGACCTCCCGTTTTCTGCAGAGATCCCTCCGTAGCCGAAAGGAACAAACGCTCCGGCGACCGAGCGCTGCCTGAGGAACCGGAGCGACCGTTACGACCGTTAGCCGCGCCCTGCCTCAGCGGCGGCCGGAGCGCGCGAGCCCCCCGCAGCCGTGCCGCGGCTGAGGAGCTGCGCCCACCGCCCGCCTGCTGCCAAACGGCCGCTGCGGAGCCGAGGCGGTGCCGGCAGGTGGCGCTGCAGCCCTCAGCAGCCGCCCGCCGCCGCGGGGGAAAGCGGCTGGGAGAGGGGCAGGGAGACAAGAGAGGAGGGGGAGCGGCCCCTTCAGTTTGAACTGCTTTTAAAAGTCAGAAACTAGCCTGCGTTTCTATCGCAGCAAGGTTTTAGAACTTTCTGAAGGTCTGTGCAGGGGAAAGTAACTTCAGTAGACAGTGAGTTGGCTCTCAGCTCACCAACAGCATCCACACCGCCATCAACCCGATGAGCCAGGTGGGATCAGGTTTTGTGGCACCAGAACTACACCGAGGTGGAGTTACAGAGAACAGATTAATAGGCCAAAGGTGGTTGTGAACAGAGGTATTTTCTATCCTGCATTGCTTCCAGGAGAGTTCTTTGTTATCTTATTGAAATTTTTACTGGAATGCCAGCAATTGGTTATGAGATCAGCCTCCTGAATGAGAAGCAAAAAACCATTTAAGCTACAAGCTAACAGTGTTTAATTTATTCTTTCGTATTTCAAATGTAAGCTGTCACTGATGATTTCATGGTTTCGAAACATCTCGGAATCATTTTTGTCTCAGACAGCATGCAGGTAAAAACTTGCATACTGCAAAAAGCTTCTGTGATAGAAAAGAATTTACATCATTTTGGGGCTGAAACATAGCATATTTATGTAACAGAGATGGTCCCTTCTGCATTTGGAGATACGGAGTTGCTGTAAACGAGACACACGCAAGTTTAGATGTTTGCGTTGACTTTTGCTAGATGCCTTTAAGTTGGGTCTTGTGGAAAGAGAAGTTGAGGGTGTACTGCAATAATTGCACCAAGAACACAAACACAGAGCAAACTGCCTTCTCACAAATGTGTTACACCAAGAGAAAGAACTGATGAAAAGGATGTTTGTCCCATTTTGTCAGGAGTTCTTCAAGAAAATGCATCCCATCACTTACTGCAGGTTAATTATACAATTTGTTCTTTGCCTTGCTACTTTTCTAATTACAGGATTACCAGACCTGCTAATATTGCTAGCTTCAGTACACAAGAATACAGTTGTTGTAGTCCTTTTCTCACTCTTGAAAATTTGGCAATCCTACAAGTTAATGTCTGAGGGGAGGAGAGGAGGAAAACAAAAGCAGAGACAGCTAAGTATTGCTATGTGATTTCTCTAACATGCTTATGGAAATATTTCAGAAATTGACATTCTTTTCTCTGTAGATACGGCCATGGTAACAACAACCACATAAACTGTATGAAAATTTGGACTGACCACCATGATAAAAATGACTCTGTAGTGAAGTGCCCACTCAGCAGGGAGGCTCATTCTAGAAGAATTTATAAACTCTCACCAGCTTTTCACCACAATAGAGAAAGCAAAACTAGAGAGGCACCTTAGAATCCCTTGCAACAACTGCAGAGTATTTCCAATTGTGGTAAAGTGCTACAAGTAAGTATTTTTAAATAAAGATTAAGACAGCTATGTCTTTGTTTATTCCTCTCTTTTTATTACAAGTGATTTGAACTACAGAGTAGACAATCCACTTCCATATAATTCTGTAATATGTATTTGGAATCTTTCTTTTCTAAATGAAAGTCTTCTATGACTTTACCATAAAACATTACCTGCTTATTACCCTAACTCCTTGTTCTGTAGATGTGATTTTTTTCCTCTTAAGCATACTGAGTATGCTGATTATCACCAATGCTATAAATGTTGCACTGGATTTTGCCATTTTTCATGTTTTTCTTTTTAGACAGGTATCAAAAAAGTTTTCTTTTTTTTACCTCCTACCCTGAGCTATGCAATATTATCTCACTTCTCCTTAAACAAATCATACAGGCGTTACACACTGAATTATACTCATTTTGCTACATGCTAAGTAACTACAGAAAAAATAGTGAGATAAGCAAAAAGTAAGACTTTGAGATACAAGCTTAGTTATCCTCTGCACATAAGTCTTGTATCATGACACCCCTATATGGGCAGTTGTGAATACATCCTAGTTAACTTAACCTGCCTTTTTAATTTGCTTTGGCAACTAACTGCTTACCTTCTCTAAGAGGCATGCCTGAGACAAATGCAGGCTGGTGGAAGTCTGTCAACAAGTTTTTATCCAAATAAATCCTACAAGACGACTGTTAAGAGTCCAGGTCTAAAACTGAAACACAAAAAAAGGAGCTGAAAACACACGTACCTACAGGTCTATAGAAAGCTTATACCAGCTTTATACCCTTATACCAGCTTTATATATACAGATTCACTCTGTAGCATCAGAGCAGTGAAAAATATCAGTCAATTCAGATGACCATAACAATCATAAACAAACATACGTCTTAGAGGTTAATTTTTCTGTCACTTTGTGTCAGAATCTCTAGAAATATCAGCTCTTTAGGTTTGCCATTCCTGAGAGTTATCTTAGAAAAAAAGTGAGAATATCTTGATGTTCTAATTGAAGTAAATGTTTTCTGTTCCAGGCTTTGCAAAGGTACAAGTAAGAGATTTCACTTAAGAAAGCTAATCGTATTTGCCACACCAAAAATAGTTAGGAAACAAATTTGATCAACTGCTCTCAGCTACTTTTTTTTTTTTTTTTAAATCATTTACAAGGGCACTTCATCTTGAGTTCCATTTATCTCGATTATTTTGCACAACAGAAGAGAAATAAGAAATGGAAATGGTATGAACTGCTTTCAGAAACATCAGATTAAAGAGCAACATACAAAAGCTTTAACCTAGCAAACCATCTTCAAGAGAAGTAAGAGCTCATCTTTTTCTGCACCATCTACTACAATAAACATAAAACATTCTCACAACACTCTCTTAAGCAGCATCTGAAGAAATAGTAAATACTACACACAAAAGGATAAACATTTTAATAAAAACATATAGCAATGTTTCTAATGCAGCAAGTCAACATAGTTCAGAAAACTCACACAAACTACTGCAAAAATTCAGTAACTTACATTATACAATTGTTCAGGCTAAAAAAACATACCAGTTAGTGTTCTTGGAAGTTTAAGGGTTCGTAAGATCAGTAGCACAGAAATGACTTGCACAACAGCTCTGGTTTAGCAGACTGGCTCATCTACCAATTACAAAATTTCTGTCAAAGGCCAACTTCTCATTCTCAAGCATTCAGCTTTAGTTTCTATTTTTCCTAATGCACTCTTTTTTGTTCGTTTTGTTTTAGGATTAGTAGTACCCCATAGAACATTGCAAATTCTGTATCCAGCATTTTAGGTAGCAAACTAATTTACTTGCCCTAGGTATTCCGTGTAGAGACTGTTTGAAGAGCTTTCACCTTGGTCAACACTAAGATTCCTACCATGTAATCACAAGAGGGAAAAAAAAAGTGTTTCAAACATCAAAGAACAAAATCTTCACAAAACCTGTCAACTTGCACCACCTCAGACTTTTCAGCTGGTAAGTATATGGAAATACATATTACCTGGACAATCTGGTAAGATCATCTTTGTTTGTGCAAGCACCCTTAAGCATGCCAGAGAAAATAGACACTTTTCAGATCTAACTCAATCTAGCTTACCTATCCAGCAGTACTTTTTCCACGGATGAACAACATTAGTAATACAAAATCCAAGCTTTGATCACTTTCAGGATCTTCAGTGTCCATAGTCACTATCCTTTACACCTAGCATTGATACGTAACACAGTCATAAGAGCAATTAAGTTTAAAGAAAAGCTAGCAGAGTCAGCACTAATTCCTCATTTTAATGAACATGTGTGATCTTATTCTCAAGTTACTCTTACAGACTGTTGGAGCGCCTTATGAAACCTCATCTTGATACCTCATTTGCAGCAGCCTGAAAACATTTTTATAGCCTAACAGTGTCCATAACTTGAAATGTATTCACTCTATGCATCAGCAGCACAGCCCCCATCGTGCTCAGTGAAGTTCCTCTCGATTTGTACCCAGAACACTGGACAAAATTGAATTACTGCTGTATGGTCAAACAATTGATTAGCCCATACTTAGCTGAGAAATATGCTAACAACTGACCTTTGTCTTTTAAGTTTCACAGGGAATGTATTGACAGTTGGCTAGTGCACCAAAAAACTCACATCCTATTGATGAATATGTTGCATACCATGCTCTGACTTGAAAGGATATGCCAGTCAAACATGAACGCTTCCCAAATGGTTCTCATTCACACATTAGAAAACTTGCAAAAGAAGTGGAACCAGAAACACATGTCTCTGGAAATCAATATTTAATCAAGCAAGTATCATCTGAACACTAATCAGAAAGTTCTCCAAGTAGCTTCAAAACACTTTATAACGGAAGTGTGCCAGTATCTGAAAAGGATTTAATTTTAAGCAGTTATATAGACCACCATCTAAGAGATGATTCTGATCATAACAGCAGAACTCTGAGTGGGCATTCGAAGCATGAGGAGGATAATTCTCTGAGCTCTTCCAAGGCAGCATTTTCTGGGAAGTCCAATAACATTAGAAAGGATGACATAAACGAAGCTTTGAGAAGCCCACATCACTTTGACAATGGCAGTACAAAGAACACATCTGCTTTTAAAACAGGTGTCTGTGATAATTCCTCAATTCAAAGACATCCCAGAGTGCTGAATTTTAACATCTTATCTGTGTAGCAAGCCATTCTTTATAAAAAGACAGTAAACAAGCGGGAAAGACCAGCCATCAACAGAAGCTCCTACGACAATGACTCCCTCATCATCTAAATTTTAAACCTATAAGAATAGATTTATTCCTGGAAGGATTTCCTCTGCATACCAGTTCATAATTTTCTTGTTTTAAGTAACATGGCTGTATTTTCGATTTTATATTCCATACACTGGATTTCTGGGAGATCAGGTAACAAATTAATAAATGAGTAATCAGATGTCATTAACTGTATATGCCACAAAAATTAATTCACTGCTGCTAGAAGTGTTTACATTAGATCATCTCAAATAAACACAGGAACTGACCTGGCTGGTACAGATGTCTCAGAAAATAGCTGTACGCTTGTGAAATTGTTGCTGTTTAAGTTTTTAGCCTTCAGTCAAGTAAATTGCTCCAAGAAATGTAAAATGAGTACAGCTTTGATATTCTTGAAAGACCAGTTACAACAAAGTTCGTATTCAGAGCTGTAATAAGTAAAGCCAGACTGATTTTAACATTACTGCTGAAAAAAGTCATATCAACTGCTATTTTCAATGTACAAGAACCTATTTATAGTCTCAGGTACTTTCTTTAAGATCTGCTATAGTTCACTGATAATTTATACTCAGAAGAGGAACTAAACCTTGGCATAGTATACAGTATATATCTTTATAGCTTTAATAGAAACCAAAATTTGTTGCAATTTCTTTAGAACAAACTTACCAGAGTCACCCACTCACAGATTTAAATTGGCATTTAATGAGTAATCCATGGAGCTTGAGTTCTGTGGGAGTTTTTTTTATGGCAACATAGATCAAGTTGAATTTGAGCTCATTTCTCATATAATTATTTGCATTTACAGATCTGATGACCCAGATATTTAATTTCACATTAAAATGAAATATGACTGACATCGAGTTTTCTTCTATTGAACTGGAAATAAAATTCATGAGATTGCTTTGCTTTCCTGTAGAGACAAAGGAAACTCCGTCCATTTCAAAGCAGATTCACAATAGGTTTAAAGTGAAACAACTTCTCAGGAAGTTTGAAAATATTTTTTTCTGTGAGAATAAGAAGAAAACCAGTAATTTCCTGGAAGACTGTAACTTCTCAGAGCACTAGATTGCAGAGCAAGTGCAAATGCCCGCTATGGTAGGAGAACATTTGCTGCGTGCTTGCCTGTAGTCTTGCAGTGTTTCTGAACAAACATGAAATAATTGACAAATGGCTTTCGTAAAGCTGAAAAAGAGAAAAAGGCTTGCACTATATGCAATTAAAATCATTACTTCAAACCCTGAAGTTTGGTTTAAGCTCTACTATATCATATAATAATTCTGCTCTTCTATCTGGATATTTTGAGATTATCTGTAGGTAGAACTGATGCTTCTGCATGTCTGCACATTCAGACATGCAGAAATCTTATTTGTTCTTGGAGTCACAGAAAGCATCTAAATGAAATGAAAGAGGAGCATGAACAAAACCTGGAATAGTATTCTTGTTCTATGGGTACTCCCTTCCAATTCAACAAAATCAATTTACAAAGGTAATACTTCTAGCTGCACCAGCAAACGAAGAGGAATCAGATGCAATGCAGAGATCAAAGGCTTTCTTCACTAGAAATGGAACAGAATATGACTGAATTAGAATTGGTAAACTTTTAAGGTGAATAACATTGGTTGAGCACTGGAATTACGGCCAAGGAAGAAATACAGAACTTTTTTTAGCATTATTTAGCAAAGAAAAAAGTGAGACCAGTGCGTACCTGGACAACATGTGATTTCAAAGACCATAAAAATTGAAGTTATTGCACTGATAACTTTTAACTATTTTATTATATTGCATAAGCTCTAACATTTTACAAGTCTTAGTTACATTTTCAGCAACATATTCAACTGATATTGTAATAAATAGAGATTAGAAGACACCTCTGATAAACTATAAAAAGGTAAAAATACTTAAAACCTGTATGCTGAACATCAGGAACATTGTAAATGAAGATCTCATCTGTTCTTGATCATTTCTGAAAATGATTGCCAAGGTAATGAAGTGCCTGCTGAGTGTAAAGCCCCAACACGCAAGGTGGTGACCACAACCATCAGCTCACCTACATTTTGTTACCTCAACAATGGTCTGTGGCCTCCGTGCACAAATTGTGACTAAATAGTGTCTTCACACACAGTAGCAAGATGTAAAAATAGTACTCTTCTAACATGGACTGAAATGCAGCAAGTGCTTCAAAGGAACTGAAAAATTAAACTGAGGAAAAATGTACCGGTACACTTTTTGGATAAATGCTAATATAGATGATGCAAATATAGACATGTTCAGTAATTGTAAGTTGACTGAAAAAAGTTTCATCCTGTAAGATAATTTTCAGGCTGAATGTTAATAGTAAAGACTTAAAATACAGATTTCTTCTGCTAGACTTGAAAACAATCTTAAGTAATTTTTGTCTTTTACTAAGCAGAACACGCTGAATACTGCTTTTAAAAGAAAATGAAGTTCAGATTAAAATCTCTTAACCCACTATGAGTTCTTTAAGAGAAACGTACCTGTCCTCTGTTAGAACCGTGGCACAAGTTAGTAAGAGTTCTATAAAAGAATGCTTATTTGTAACTCTATAAGTCTTTCACTGTGTTTTGCGTGAGTACAACTGCACCAAATTTAAAAAACAAACAAAAAAAACAAATCAATGAAGAAGCTTGGGTTATGTAAACAATGCAGGTTAGGCCTCAACATGAGATATAAACTGGTTTTAAAACACAAATAAAACTCAATACACCCAACTCAATATACCTCCTACTGCCAATGAGGGTTAGCAACTGACAATAGCTTTTTATCATCACCATAGTTCGTATGTTAAAAACAATCATTTCATTTCTGAAGTTAAAAAAACACCCAGATTCAGACCCATAAGCCCAGTGACTTCTAAGATGCTTCATTCTGATTTACTAAGTTGAATTGGATTCCATAATTGGTTTTTAAAAGATACTACTGTTCAGATTGCTAAAGATATACTTCTTTAATTTCTTTTCAAACATAAAATACAAAAAAGACAGGGTGTACAACAGTCATTATCATCAACATGCAGAAGTCAGTATTCCAACATAAAAACACTAGATCTCCCTTTGAAAACATTATAAAAGCTACACAACAGAAAGTTTGAATTGGGGTTTTTGGCTAACAGAAAAAAAACACCTACCTGTGCTTCTCAGATAGTCACGTGTCCCACTGATAAAATAAGTCTGATGAAAGAGAAAGGCACTTCAGCAGGCTAAGTTAGTTCTTCAGATATTCCTAGTATGCCACGTTTCATAAGCAGTAGTGGACAATGGTTGCAGTATACTGCATTTTCATTTGTACACCGCTATAACAATACTATGGTTAATCTGCTTCATATTTTAACTAACGAGAAGAATTTGAAGTGTTGTCCAGTCATCTCACCTTCTTTGGTAGAAATTACTGCACAGAAACAGAGCAGACAACTAAAAATGTGCAGTCCTACATACTGGATTATCTCTTGTGCATCATCTCTAGCTCTGCATTAGTAAATAATTTCCCTAATTATCAAATCAGTTGTGCTTTCAGGTTTATAAGATAGCAGACTTCTCCTAATTCTGACAGTATTAAAAAGATTTTTCTTGCTAACCTAATGTAATTGTTAAGCATTTCTCCTTTTTTAAATTCCTGTAGTACCTGACTTTTTAAAACCACCAGAAAATTACTGTTTATTAGCTCATTTGTATTCTGGTTAACATATACATATTAATGTATATACAGCTATGTATTACTTAATCTGATCATTTACGTTCTCATAAAATAATGATATTTGAGTTGGAAGGGACCCCAAAGGTCATCTGGTCCAATTCTCCTGCAATGAACAGGAACAGCTCCATCACGGTACTCAGAGCCCCATCCAGCCTGACCTCAAGTTTTTTCAACAACAGGGTATCCACTGCATCTCTGGACAAACTCCAGCACCTCACCACTCCTACTGTAAAATACTTCTTTCTTATGTCCAGTCTTCCCTCTTTTATTTTGAAATAACCTCCCCTTCTCCTGTCACAACAGACCCTGCTAAAGAATCCATCCCCTTCTTATAGTCCCCCTTTAGATCCTGAAAATGATTATAGTGTTTTACGGATGCACTGATCTGAGCCACACAGATTCATCTGCAGAAGCAAGGCCTCAGCTAACTACATCAACCACCTCATCAAAACCTGCTAACACACAGAAAAGATATACCCAGCTGCTAGAAACTCAACATCATGGTAACATTTTTTCTCCATCTATATACACGTAGCATACAGTATCTGCAATTAAGATATTAGAACTCAATGGAGCAAAACTCCTTTTCTTGAAAGGCTGAGTAAAATAAAGAATTCCAGTCACTAAGAAGTGATATAGGTTTCTAGTGCACCAAGTTCCAACACATGAATGGAAAATGACTATATTTACAGAATATAACCTGTAAATACTGCATACAGATATCAAGTGTTTTAAGTATTTTAGAGTTGCATGCAGATTTTAAAATCCAAGACTTAATGCTCAAATTAGGGCCAGGGAAGAATTCCCTCTCTGTGTGCTTAGGGGCATCATCTGTTTTCATACATCTATCTTCCCACATACAGCTGAAGAAAAGTCTTCTGAAGTGTTACCAGCAGCATATGACAATATGTGATAAATGCTAGCAAGTCACATACAGTAAAGCTGGCATATGGGACCTACAAAGCAAGCAAAGCATGGATGGAAGCAACAGTTAAAGACGGTCTTGGAAACTGCATTACCTTTACTGCTGCTTGTGCACTCCAGAAAAGAATTTAAATACTCTACACAAACAAATGCTCACATCCTCATTAAGCAAGAGAGAACCGAGGCCCTTCATTCACAAAGGAGATGTTGATAGGAGATGTCCTACCAGTTGCAGCTATTGCAAGGCTACTAAGGACACGTACTTTACAGACAGATAAGTCATCTCTATCAATTATGAGAACATAAAGAACATTTTCAAAAAGAAATTCATTTTGCTTCCTACAACTGAGAAGCTCAACAGCAATAAATTCTTAATAATAATATTCCCCTCCAACTTGCTTGGCTGCCTAGAAGCTGATGCACTTATGCACGGCCTTTCAAGAGGCCATTTTAAACTACCAGGACAAAACTGTGGCTTAATCCAGGCAGCCAAAAGCCCATTTAGAATGAAGGTTCAGAAAATAACTCCACTCCTTGCTTGTGATCCACCAACAGAGCGGACAAGAATCAGCACAAACTCAGTGCATCTTTGGAAACTGCTCTTTTGAAATCCTAAACTGATCTTTTCAAGATTTCTAATCCTTTTTCTTTGGTGACCAGATACCTACTCTGATGCAGAACAGGAACACTGGAGCGCAAGATTTCATTCACTTGAGCTCCCATGAATAAAGCCATTTGTGACAGTCTTTGCCTTTCCATGAAAGAAGTGAGTTTAAGGAATTAGGTGGTCTTGGTACCTACAATTTAAACAAGATAACAAATCTGCTGTATATTTAAGTTACTGCAGGAAATTTAGACAAAATACTATTTTAGACAAATTTAGACAAAAATACTAAATTTAGATAACTGAAATCCACTGTCAGGGATTTACTGTTATTTTCAACAGAATATATGAAAGTCTCTTTTCGAAAAGGGACTCATCACAACTGATGCAATTCTAAGCAGGACAATCCTGAACCTCTAAATTAAAAGTAACTTTCAATAAATTGTGCATTCATAGAAAATACACTTCAAAATATATAATGGATAAGTAATAAAGCAAACAAAGGAAAAGATGAAAATATCATCACTTTGGGCTAGAAAGTTAGTCATATACATAATCCAGCGGATTGAATACAGGAAAATAGGTACTGTATTTCATATAGTGAAGTTAAATTAGTTACCAAGAAAAAGTACCAAAGGGATACTAATATGGCCAGCCATCTTAACCTCTAAAATAGATGAACCACATAATTAAATCAGTATTTTGGCCAAAGAGAATTAGAGACGTCAGAAAAACTTGAGCTAATGGATTGCTAGTACCATCCCAATTATCTTACATATTCTTCTAGAAACAGCCACCAGACAACTGACAATCCCAACAGAACAGACATAGATCACAGAACAATTTCCTGAGTGAATGCTCCCAGAAGACCAGCCACATAGGATATTTCCCAACTCTGAGTGCACATGTGGGATGGATGTTAATAAACACCACCACCATACTTTACTCCCCCCCCATCCTCCGATTTCTCAGAAGAAAGAATTCCTGAAGCACTGGCTCGGAAGAAAATCAAGGTGTGCTTCAACAACAGTGGCAAAAAAGACAGGGGGATGGCAGTACCAGGTAGGCAGACAGCTAAGTGCACCCTACAGTTTACCTGCATGCATTTCATGCTTGAGGGCCTCACTGCTGAACCCAAACTACTACAGTTGGAGGAAATATTTATAACATTTTTTTAGGATGATTTATAATCAAACTGCCAAGGCCAAGATGCTGGAACTTATTTAATCAGGGAAGCATCTTAAAAGCCACAGAAAGACATTCTATATACAGTACAAAGCACGTTCAAAGGGTATGTATATTTTTCTGTTAGCCAAAGTTGAAACTATCACTTTGACAAGATGAACATTAAAAATAAAGAACATTTTGATGGCCTTTCCCTTCCTCTATACATATATCTTAGTTACATTTCATGCATCCATGACTTTTGGTAAGTTTAACTCTAAGTTGAGTCATAAGTAGTATTTATATTGCATTACAGACCAAATTCCGCAATCTGCTCTCATGCTTATAAAAAACCCCAATTTTTAAAGCCTGCTTCACTCCACTGTGATGCACAATCTAGGACAAAAGTAGCTTCGGTTAGTAAAATGTAGGCACATACATCTCCAAATCATAAAATAAAAAGCAACAGCTTTCCCGTCAAAGGGCACTATTACATACTATAACATAACTTGTCTAAACTTGCACATTTCTTCATCGCAGTCCAAAGTCTAACTTATAAATCCGAAGGAATCCAAGACGAAGTTTTGGAGCACAACTGTTTCAACAGTATGCAAAAGAGAACATTTTAACTAGTAACAAAGCCCAAAGAAGCCACTGAGATTAGCAGTGACAGCAGCTCTAAATGTGACCAGAACCAGTCCTTTTCTGCAAGAGGTGGATGCTTCCTAGTTGATGCCAGTTGTCAACATCCTCAGTTCAGAATAAAGCGGACCAAAAAAGATAGGCAACATCTTATGACAGCAGATCATGAGCTCCAGTAACCACACAGCATGTACAGGTCCCCCTGCTGCCACTGCTATACAAAACAGTTACCTCTTCCACATCAATGGACACAGAGAGAATATGAATGCTTTAGAACTCTTCTAATAAATCCAATAGAGTTCTTCTGGTGCCATGAAACTGAATGATGAAGCATTATACAAAGTGGTAGTGACAAATCCCTAGAAAAATTCACATATAAAATACTGTACAGATAATCACATTTATTAGGAACAAGACTGAGAAATGGCTTGAGCCACTATAGTAATGCTTTAGTAAAAATTAAAAAAAAAAAAAATCAACAAATGAAAGATGTGCCTACATTTCTCACTGTGCATTCCAAGAGTTGTGTCAAAAAAAAAAAAAAGACAGGCTAATTAAAATGCGGACCCTCTCTACACTGCCAGCAAAATTAGGAATTGGAAATTTTTCATGTGTTTCCCTGTTATCAATTCACATTGAATATCAATTGCCCAGTTGAAGTTATAGTAACTCAATCTGTACATTAAAAAACGTTAATTTTTCTTGATACTAGAAAACAATATTTCCCTTGTAAACCCTACACTGCAGAATTACACAAGCAGCCAAGAGGTCAACAACTAGCAGGGAGAGCAACAACACAAAGCACATTGTGTTTTAATTTATAGGAATAAGTGGCCTCTCCTCTCTTTTCTTCCAGATATTAGTCTTGCTATCTCTTTTTGTGAGAGATGGCCTATCCCTTTTCTTAGGGGAAGGAATACTGGATTCCTGACTTCCTGACACAGTTTTTCTTCTTAGACCCTCTTCATCATGCTGTTCTATGGCTGGCCCGTTCCCTCCATCCAGAATGTGCCTCACAGCCTGGTCCTCTGGAGTACACACAGTGGTCCCACTTTCACTGCTACTCAGATCCAGATCTTCCAAGTAAAGGATCTTTGAATGTGGCATATTTTTAATGAAGGTTTTCTCTCGCTCCAGTTTCCTACCAGGATGATGCTCATTCATGTCCACACCAGAGTCCAGACTGGTATCATTACTCTCTGTTTTTCTACCCTTTTTCAAATCTATAAAAGAATGCCTCACTTGAGCTATCGGCTTTCCGTCCAGGGACACAAACCATGCTCGAGGATGTGGAGATGGCTTTCCCTTAGAGAGTTCCAGTAACGTTTGTTCTGAAATGCCTTGAAGCTCAGATGAAAACGGAGTCATTACAACTGCTTCATTCAATGTTCCAGGGACAGAGACAGATTCCAGTAAGCTGTTAGTGTACCGACCCCAATTTGATGTTTGAGAAGGCAAGCCTTGTTCACCATCCAAGGTGCTTTTCTCATCTCTGCAGACAGAAGGCTGTGGATGTGAGTGCACTGGCATTTTAGGTAGCGTTTGTATGTAACCATCTCGATTCACAGGCTCCATCATGGGGCTATACACTAACTGTCCTTTCCTCGGCAGAGTTGCTGATTTAGCGGCGTGCAATTGTTCTGGGGAATGGAAAAGATCAGAGGTTTGAAGAATAGCAATAGGTTGATTGTAAATATGCATTAGATGTTCTGGGATATGGGAAAGCCCGTATATTTCCTCTTGCAGTGTAAGGTATCTGTTTTGCTCTTGAATGTCCCTAGGAGCCTGGGAAGTAGCACTGTTAGTATGCTTTGGTGGCTGCAATTGTCTGAGTCCAGCACCAGGCTCCAAGGAATGAGGTGAATTTATTGACTGACCAGTCTGATAGGATGACTGATAAGAAGCATCTTCCGAGTAGATTTTAAAATTGTCTCGTGATTTTCCATCTTCTGTGTCTGTGGACATCCTTCTTTGAGGGCTGTATGAAGACATCTTCGGTGTATATAGCTGCGACTTATCCTCTAACTTTAAAGACCCCTTGACAGCATTGATGTGATTTATGTGAGTTGTTGATGTGGTCTGGTCTTTTTTTATGACATCCAGCTTTGTTGTATTTTTTTCCTTCTTTTGTGTCTGACCACATTTGTCCCTAAGCAAAAGAAATGAAGAGTGACTGCAGAGTATGCTAGGAAATACAACAACTGTTCAATTCCAGACCTGAATATCAGATGTTGTTTAAGTTACTAGTATAACATGATGTCAAAAAACTTAAAATGAAGTTCTGTAAGCACTAAAATTAAAGAAATCTTTGGCTACATAGGAGTAGCCAAAGGAGGCTACATAGAGGAGAGGCTACATAGTTGGAGTTGGGTGCATTAAGACTTTAAAACATTTTGTTTGCTTTATATCTTAACATCTTTTCAGTAGTGTTAAGAAACCTGTCAAGTCCAAGTTTATCAATTTTAAATTACATTAATGTTGAGCTCATTACAGCCCCTCTTTTGCTTACCTGCAGTAACAAAGAAGAACAGCAAAAAATCCAATTATAATGATAACAGTACCTCCCAGTATGGCTGTAAGGAACACTGTGTGATAGGCTGTTATGTCCTTGGAAACTGCACTAATGATCGATTCTAGATTTTCAAACACAAAAGCAGACAAGAAATAGATTTCATAATCAAGTAATGGTTATTGATATGCAGAACTGTAGCAATACAACACGCTGTACTTTTCCCATAATTTTGTGTTCCTATGGTACTATATTCATCTATCCCTTCTCATTTTGCTATTTCAGCAGTCTAGAGAATGTGCAGTATAACGGATTTCTAAAGGTTCATCTTAGATACTAAAGCAATACCATGACATCTACTCAATTCCAGCCAAAAGACATTTGTCTGAGGTATCCAAATTGATTTAGAAACATCATCTATATATTCTGTTCAGTGTTTCTGTTAAAAAGTGCTTTTATAATATTTACAATTTGACATCACATTTCTCCAGGGTAAATCCCTCAATTTGAGTCTGCAAAATCCAAGTTTGCAACATGTGTACATACAAAAGGATCCACTGAGACCATATACCTAAGCCTAACCTCCTTGCATTTCTTCCTGTTTTACACTATCCTCAGCAATAAGGGACACAGTATTGAGAATTTTAAACCTCCATAGTTACAGTTTCCTTGCCAGGTTCTTCCAGAAGATGGCAATAATATAAACATATATCTTTTAACACTGCTGGAGGGAAATCCAGGCTGTACTGCAAGTTCTAGGAAACAATCACATGTAGAAAGGCACGCATTATCAGAATTCAAACAAGCAGAAGTTATCTATGTTGAAATTCTATGTCATTTTCCCTTTCTTTTGTTATTCAAAACAATCAAACTAACTGCCTGCTGACAAATTTGTGCTTGAGTTACTCACTACTTGCAGTTGCAATACCTCTTGTTCCGGGCAGCGGAGCTGCTATCCAGTAGCCTAAGTGTTGAGCAGTGTATGTCCATACTAATTGATCATTTGCTTCCTTTACCATTCCTAGGCCACGGCTTACCCAAGCACCTGAAAAAGATAAGATATTGCAAATGCCATGCCACATTCCTCTCTATCTAAAACACTATCAATTAAAATATTATCAAAAATACAAGAAAAACTAAACTTCTGTCCTATACACTATGTATTACAGTTAATATAAATATAATAAACATGCAAGTTTTCTTTCAACAATTACAAGACAAATATCCTTACGTACAGTGACTTTGAGATAAAATATGATCAGCAATTACTTGAATTATTTTCACATCATTCATCTCTTAATAACAAATATCTTAAATAGATACTCCTGCAAATTATTTGGGGAAAAAAACCCACCTTATTTTATGAACTTAAACAGGTATGAAACTTAAAAATCAAGGAGCAGGTAATTTAAGGATACGAATGGAAATTTTCCATCAGCTCACACCACTCAGTGGGAAAGCAACATAATCTAATAAGCTACAATAGGATAAACAATGCTTGTCATGAACATTCCTTTCCTCCTCCGATACAGTAACAGCTGAATTAGACCAAAGAAGGTGTATTGTTAGGCCACAGACTCCTCACCATCTGGTAGGCAATGCAAAGGACAAGTTTTATGGTATGCCAACTTCTACAACTAATAAAGCATTCGGTAGAAGAGATGGAATAAAACAGTGCATTATTTGAATACATTAACTGCATACCATCTGTGAAATCCTGAAAAACAAAAGCTGTCTCCTATAAACAACCTTACATTTTCAAACTGCAAATACCGAGAAAGAAAAATGTTAACACACGCACACAAAAACAGAAACTAAGAACCAAATTATGTAAGTGTGATTTATATAAAGCCTGTCACATAAATCAATATCCAGGACCCTTATTCCAGAAAAGCCAAGACATATTATCAGAGTGAAGGTAGAGATGAGAGCTGACCCATGCCACATGTGTCTGCACTCCTCCTTCACCTCTCCAAACCATTTGGCACTAAAATTTGCAGTCTTCTTTTGGTACTTATGATGGCTAGCAGAAAGAGAACAGCAACAGCAACAGCCTAGAACCCCGAAGGATGTGGTTTCTCAGTTACTTTGAGAACCTTTTGTTCAGACTCAGGAGTAGCACCACCTCTAAGAGTCTTCCATCCCTAATTCCCACATGGAGGCAACAACAGAACCTCGAATCCTATTTCTTGTCAGCTCTAAGGTCAGATGTTCCTATGCTGCAAAACAACAGTTTTGTAAGTACAGAGGGTGAGCTACTTACAGGCTTTTAAAAAATAAATTAATAACACACCACCACATTTAAAAGATTCTAAGTATCCAGAAGTTCTACTTTGAATTAAGATATAAGAAGCAGTATAATCTCTATTGACTACTCAAGTTTTATCTTGCTTACAATATACTCCATAGAAAAAAGTAAACCTTAAGAAAAAAATAAAAATATTTTTTCCAAGTGCATATTCTGAGTGCAGCCTGAACTAGCTGTGGGGTCCCCATTCATTGCAAGGGATTTGGACTAGATGGACCTCAGAAGTCACTTCCAACTCAAAGGATTCTATGATTCTGCTGTCAGTTGTAATAAAGCAAAGTGTTTAGCAACAACAAGGCCACATTCAACATATGTGAACAGACTGTGCATTTACAGCAGCTGGAATAACAACAACTTAACTTCATGAAGCGTCAGTACCACTATACTGAGCTACCCCAGGGAGCACTTCACAAGTTGATACAAGAAAGCAGTTTCTATGTTTTTATTTCTGGTGCAGGTGGATAGTCTACACAATAATATAGGCTTGTTCACTTACCTCTATCAGCACTGACATGGAAGTGCTGATTACATATGACAAACCATCCAAGGACTTGAGAATACTCAAGTACACATCAACATCTTGTCAGGCCATCCTGCACATAAGACCTTTCACACCACAGCCTATTATTCGGTGTGGTGATAGCTCTCTGCTCAGCTACCTGTGGATGCTCTTGACTGAGCTAGAGCTGAGATGCTCAGTTGGCCTCAGTCACCAGCATTAAATACTTGGCTATTCCTCGGTTATCTTAGAAAGTAGTCACAATGTGTACAGGTCAGAGTAAAAGTAAAATAAAGCAAGGTATGTAAGAGCAAACATCCAGAACCATAAAGATAGTTGCAAATACTTACTCTATAGGACAGCTGAAGAAGTAGAATAAAAAATATAAGTTAAAGTTATACCTGAAAGTTCTCTCTCCTTGTTCTCAATTCTCTTTATTCTTCCCTCACCAAACTCCAGGCTCCACCTCAGTACTGCACTTCAGTGAGTGATCATGACAAACAATTTACCTTTACAGAATCTCTAACAGTGAACAACCCCAAAGGGAAAAAATCAACTACTCCTTTGTTGCTGCAATTAAATTAGTACATCATATTCTTGTTCTAGTCTCAAGACCAACACACCTCATCAGGCACGACGGTAGGCTCCTCAGCACCCAGATATGCTCCTTACACTGGTTTCTTCCTAATTTGCCCCTATGCTGATCTGCTCTACTTCTGTCAGTTCTTTGTTTTTACAGCACTGCTGACCTAGTTTTGTTCGTTTACTAAGTCAAAACAGCTCAGCATAGGTACAGATGAGCACAGGAGATGACAAATATGGCTATGGCAACAAGAAATTAAATCCCCTCACACTTTTTTGCCATCACAGATTAAGACTCTTACTTTGATGAAGAATGCTACCTTTTACCACTTTCCTTTCTGAAAGCCTCCTAGGTGTACAGACAGATTTAAAATTGATGCCAGAAATTTTTCTATGTGCCAATTTTTAATTAGTACGCTCTTAGTTCAAATCAATTATGTTCTTTGGTTGCTATTAATATGATTAATTTCTCTCTCAAATGCGTAAACAGTAAGTCTTTAGAGTTAGTGTCCTCTCCTCTACTTTCAACTACAACAGTTATTTGCTTTAGTAAGGAGTAAAGACTCACATCTTCGTTCACTTGCATATTTTAAGGTGAGCTGTGGTGGAAGGTACAAGGAACAAGCAAAGACAGTCAGTACACCAATGCACACACACCTAACATGGGACATTTAAATGACTAAGCGCACGTAGCTCATTACTCTTGATTAAAGTTAGACGTCAATTGACGACTGAAGGTTTAGCATGTCTTATCCCCAGTCTCTCTTGCATACTTAAAGAACTATGGTATTACCGTGGATAACTCTTATTTAGCCTCCATTTCACTTTCATAATTGTTTTTATTGACTTAAGTAACATCTATTCCAGCTTTAATATCAAAGGATTTTTAGAGCTATACTTTAGAAAACAAATGACTTACATCCTCAATTCTGATTCACTTTCGTTTAGAAAGACATTCACAGAATTGTTAGGTTTTAAAGTGTAACACCATATAAAATATGTTCACTGAATTATTAGCCCCCCCATGAAAATAAAAAAAATTGTTATAACAAATGTGTTGAATAGGAATGCTAATGAGTTTTAGCAGCACTTTTCAGACTAGCGAAAGCAAAGAAATGGCTTTGAACAATTCAGGCCAGTCAACCAAAAACCAACACAATCTCTAGCCAAACTGATGACTATTTAACAACAATTTATCAGTGCTTTTAATATTTAATGATGCAATGGCATACACTCAGAACTGTATGAATGTGTTAAAACGTTGAATAACAAATTAGCCTACTTACCAGTTTTCATATCAAATGTCCATGCAGGTATAGCATCTCCTGATTTTACAGTACTTAAAGGAAGAGGAAGTGTAATCTGAATAGGACCATTTACTTTCAGTTCTTTCCCAGCCAAGAGAACATTTGCACATATTGCAGCAAGAGGAGTCAATTCAATGCTTTTGAAACCTGAATTAGAGAAATACCTTGTCTGTATCCTCCACTCATACATTTTTCAAAAAAAATAATTAGAATTAATTATGTATCCCTGTGAACAAAGTCAAGCCCTCATCTGCATTCAGCTACACAGTTACACATCACTAACTTGGTCAAATAAAATGAACACTTCTAGACTCGTAAATCTTGTGTTCTAAGCCCAAAACAGTCATTTGTGTATCAGATCTGTAAAAGAGAAACATACTTCTAACATAAAGATTCATCACTGGCTGTAGAATCAATGACTACGCAAAAGATGGCTTGGAGATGGAGAAACTCCAAAGAGTTAGCCAATAGATAAACTTTTTTAATCATCCAATATACACAACTTTGAAACCAACTGAAGACATGCTGCAAATATACAACTGCCACAATTCTCCTTTTAGTCAAACCCTCTTAATAAATTTTCCTGTACCAATTAATTTGCTAATTTGGCAGTTACAATTAACTGAGTAGTTAAGCTTGAAACATGTCAAAGCATTCAAAGGAAACTCCATATACAAAAATTTACAGTGCAGCTTGTCATTTTGTTTCCTTTGTTTTCCTTCACACTGATTTGCAAATCCTTCAGAACCCACAATATGACGGGCTATTGGAAAAAAAAATGAAACAGAATTAATAAGTACTGGAATAATATTAAATCCACGCAGGCTGTTAGAAGCTGGCTGTGACAAAATTCCTTGTGCATCACATAACAATTAGCTTCCACCCGCCCTAAAAGGAAGCTTATTCCTACAGGAGTATATGAATAATTTAAAACACATGCCAGACAGATTGAAAGAAAAACTGAAGGAGAGAAACGCTGCTTATTCTCTTATGCTTTAACAACGTGCGGTATAGATGAGAACAGTTATGAAATACATCAGTCAACATATCAATTATGTGTGATATTCAATGAAAATTAAAGAACAGTTCGTTGAAATAAATCAACTAGTAGCCACCACATGCACTGTAATCAAATTGGGAGCCACAAGGCTTCAAGCTCCCTGGGAATGGAAATAAAAGAACAAAAGAGACGAAACTGTATGATCTGCCAGAGATAACTGTAATTAATAATTACATCTGATATAATGGCAAATCCTAAACTAACTATGCCAATATGCAGTTGAATCTAATGACTACTGAAATCACTCACTCCTACTCCTGTGAAGCAGCATAATAGAAAACATTATTACAACTGTGCTCTATATACATACAGACTACTTAGTCTCAAACAGGCTTACACAGGTTAACAGTGAGCCAAATTATACTGTGCACAAAATCTTTACACTAGATGTAAAGCTCTAACAACAGGCGATAGAATTCTAGTGAAAATACAGAAAAGCCCATTGCTAAAATTAACTGCTGCAATCCCACTGACTGCTTTAGATTCCCATAATTGACACTGTCCAGAACTGCATTTTAAGGTGTTTATTTGACTAGCTCTCCAGGCTCATGATATCTCAAATACCTTCAATTAGAAGTCATTTAAAAGGTTACTTACTGTGATTTAGAATTTAGTGCTTCAGCACTAAAAAGAACTATCTATACACATCTGTAAAGCAGACTGAAGGACAAATTCACTGTTATGAGTTCTGATTCACTACAGTGAACATACACGGAACAAATCAAAGGGCAACATTACTTATCAACTGCGTTCATAGCTTTTCTCCATAGGAAGAAGAGTAAACCAATTTAATGCAATGGAAGCTGGTTCAGACACTTTTAGTTTAAGCATACTTTTAATGAAACAGAACGCACTCAAAAACATAACATTTTTAAAATCTCTCTTTAAAAATGTAAACAATACATCTACTATACCTGATTTGTTTAGAAGAATTCCTGTCGTATAGAGAAAACTGTCCACTTTCAAGAATTGCTCTGGCACCGTCAAATAAGCTGTAACATTTGTAATATGGTGATCTGTTGGAAGCTTTATTAAAGATTTTTGAAACTGAACACTTGGTTGAGATTTGGCATCTGTAAAAGAGTAATATTTCGTCTTAGCAATGGTAAAAAAAAAAAAAAAAGACTTTATTATTGCTCAGAAATCCACTCGGCACAACAGTTTTTTTCCAAGGCTTGTAAATTCCTAGTCTCTTTTCAAGGCTTGTAAATTCCTAGTCTCTCCTAGGTGCTAACATGTAGCCACATCACAAATGGATAAACAACCAACCAGAATACTAGCCTTGGTATAGGTATTATCTATCTCTTCTTGTGAAAAGCAGTGCTTAGGTAGCCCCTGCTTAAGTAGCTTCCATTTCCATAGAAGATCAGCAAACTTTGATAAATGAACATTTACAGAGAGCGTGAACTTGATAATTCTTTTTTCCAAGTATCACAAATTGTTTAGCCTGTAGTACATACACAATTAACTTACCAGACAATTTTCCAGTGATCAGAACAGTATCTTCAAACAGCCATATATTAGCTTGACTTTGTGGGAACAATGAGAGCGTCACAGACGAGTATACTGTGGAAAGTTATAATATCTGTTATATACTATGCAACTGAAAAAATAACCATCTAATAAGCTCTCTGATTCCAAAAGAATAGGGCAGTTGAAAAGGAGCATATGAAGACTAGACAAATGACTCCTGTTGGCCAGAAGAGGAATTATGTTGGTTAGACAGGATAATATATGCTGTGTTTGCTACTGTTGTATGTTTTCTATAGAAGTGGCTAGAGTTCTTAGAAGCATCCTCTTATTGATTTGTTTTCTAAATAATGATTTTTTTCTTGCCCATTTAAGAAGAGGAAAACTTGGGAGGAAATACTTGGGCTGAAAAGAAAGTGTAACAAAAGTCTATACCTGTTATACTACACTCAAAGCACTGGCACACCATGAATCACTAGAGAAAATACAATTTTTATCGAAAATACAAAATACATAAAAAGCCCTTTGCTATGTTTAAGTAAACAATTTCTCAGAGTACACACAGTGTTGCAGTACAACCTACTTAGAGTTAACAAGGGCTCTTCTCACTTGCACAGTAATAAGAATTTGTGACAGATCTAACAGGTCCTTCACCCTTACATCTGCACCGACAGGCACCGCCTCCCTCAACTGACTGCAGTCATTTTTAACTACATGGACTGCTGAGAAGAGGTACTTTAATTACCAATAGATACAGTTTAATAATAGGACAGTAAGAGGCTTACATACTTGGCATTCTCCCAGTCTTCCAAGGCAAAGGTGTTAACATGTAGCCATCTTTGTATGATACGATAGTTAAGCTTAATCCTAATTTGTAAGGAACTTTTATTAATACTGCTCCGTTGTTTCCAGTGAGAGTAGAATTTGTCTTGGTGTAGTTAACAAACACTTCCACGACTGCTTGTGCCAGGTACTGATGACTGATGATGTCATTTACTTGAACCTTCAGCATAAACACCGATCCTATTAAGAAAAAAAAAAAAGGAGATCATAATGCAGCTGAGGACTATAACTTAACCACTTAACTGTGTCCTATAGTTCATGCTTTATGTATTTATGCAGTCCATTCCATATATGGTCCCACCATAGCTAAATTATAGCAAAAGGGAGGAAGAGTTGTACCTCAAGGAAGCAAAAAACCTTGAGAATGGAGTAGAGATGCCAGAAGTAAAAGATGACGATCGTTTACTAACAAAAACAACAACAGACACCTTCCCAAATTAAGAAGTAATTCTTCCTGCTCTCACTGAAGCTTGAACCGTGCACATGTGACAATGTGAGACTCAACGTGCCCTGCAAGTACACTGTGATATCACACTCAGCTTGGCTCTCACTTTTAGAGATGCACCTTACATTTTTTTTTAGAACCAGAGAAATTAAAATCTACAAATGGTGGGCCAACATTTTTTCTTATATGTATGAAGTTCTTAAACAGTAATCAAACACATTTAGACTGTCTAATATCTGTCATTAGATTTAGCCTTCTGGTCTGGTTTTCACCTTTCAGTTTCATACTTTCTAAAATAGCATTTGCCTATTGCTAATTACGCAGTCCGACATTCCTTTGGGACACCGGGTGTCTTGCAGAGATGAGGATCAAAATGACTGAGTAATATACTGAAAACATTAAGTGCACTTGAATTACATTCAATTTAATCTGCCACCTTCACTGTAACTAAGCTACCAGGGAATCTTTCCACAGAGAGCAAGTACATGAAAGTGAACCAGAAAAAAAAAGAATTCTTCTTACTTCCAGGATGAAATAAAATTCTCAGCATAAAGTACCTATGGACCTCTGTTAAGACAGGTTGCGACATCAATTTCCCTATATTCTGATTACAGAATTACTACTATTCAACACCACTGCACTCCTACTACACAAGGGTTATTAAATACATTATAAATATGCATTTATGTTTAAGTCATTTGTCAAGGTGAGTTTCCTTAAAATTTCTCAACACAAAAATAGACTCGATTTCATTATGTTCTCTCCGCTATAATCAAGATTGACACCGCACCACAAGATTACTACCACTGACCTTGATGTAAATCAAAAGGCCTTGGGAAGCCAACTGCTACCTATCCAACAAGACACTATGCAAGGACAACATGTAACTCAGGTCCCAGGTGAAGTAAGTATTGGCTAATGTCTATCGTATGCATGGAGCACACTATATATTCATGCACTCAGTTTACTACTATTTATCACATGCAAAAAAAACCTCAGAGCTTTGCCAGTCTGATCCTCTAGGACATTACAGAGTAACCCACATCCAGCAAATTAGTATCGACTTAAAGGAAAGACAAAATAGTACTCAAACATATTTATAGAATTAAAAAACAATGAACTTAGAATGCAGCTGTCATTTCTTATTCACAGCTTTTCTTTTCTCAATTACAATTGTTTTTAATTTATAGTTGAGAAAGGATTTTTAAAACCTCTAACGATTAGATAGATTCGTGTCAACTAACCAAATTATGACGACTCAGCAGATCCTTCAACATTGGTCCAGTTACACACATCCTAGCATCATTCCAGGGTTCCCAAAACTTAGAAGATAGGCAGTTTGCCCTCAGCAATGTCTGCTGAAACAGCCACTAAGTAGGGAAAACAGGCTGCGTCCAACATTCTGATCCTGTTGCCAGAAACCGTTTGATAAATAGTATTAAAAAATAAAATAAAATCACTAGCATAGAACTGAAGCTCATGTCAGCAGGAATGAATTTTGTTTACCTGGAACAAAATGGTATTTTAGCAGCTGGAATCAAGTCATTTGAGAAAGGATCCTACCATTAACAGCTCGATGCAGTCAAAAAAAATTGAAACCTACTATGTTCAAACTTCTGACATCTTCTAGTCGTATCAATGTTTTTATTTGTGTGTTCCCATTCCCTAGTAATAAATCAAAATAAATAAAAATACAGGGAATCACTACATCCCTCCTCCAGCAATTAGTACATTCAAAGATACTGACATGCAAGAATATGAGTTCCTCTCATTTCCTCCAGTTACAGCCATGCTAAAACCTACTTCTCTAGAAGATTTTGATTGAAACAACAGACTGCAGAATCCTTCAAGAAAATCAAGAGCTTTCCTGCTCCCCCAGCCCTATTTCACTGTTGCACTGTTACACCAGGAGCTGGCTGTACCAGAGCATCCTGCAGCAGGGCAGAAACAACAGCCTAGTTAAAATCAAAACAATGCTTTGTTTCTCAGAGCTCAGACTGTGCATGCATCAGTGATGCAGTGCCCCAGACTGATCCATTTCTTTCCAAACTTGACATCCATCCCTGGACCAACTCGCTTCTCAAATTAGCTCTTTCAAATGCCTCATATACATTTAGCCTGCAAATTTATCAGCATATTCAACAGCACTGAGTTACTAACAACTTTATTTTAACATTCATGATACCTCAGTTTTGAGGATCTTTTCCTCTATAAAAGATCTTAATGCCTAAGTTCTCAAGAATGTTCAAGACTCAAATAAGAAGGATTTTTTCTTAACATCACAATAATACATATTGAACAAAGTATTATGGACAACAAAAGGAAATGCTGGTTAACTATTTCACAAAACCGAAGTTCATACTTTTAAGAACTTCCTGAACTCGTGCTGTTTTCTGGTCACTACCACTTGCCAAACACAAGTGGGTCAGCTCTATCTCAGCATTAAATAGATTTGACAGAACTCCCACAGTTAGAAAAAAGAACTCAGTCTGTGCTAATTTGATTTGTGCTGCCTCTGAGGAATAGAGATTTGTCTCTTGGCAAGCCCACTGAAAATGCCAGCTTTAAGACATTTAAACATTTGCTGATAAATGTTCATACAAATGTAGGAGCTAATTAGAAAAAGGGAAACAATGCCTTCTACCACACTTAGCATGCTTCAGAAATGCCACAGTTAATAAACGACACCTCACACTGAGCAACAGCACTCAGTGCCTGGGATTTGGCTTCACATCACTAACCTAATCCAGAAATCATATCACAGTGCTAAACCCAAGAAATACTTCGTACCCAGCTCTCAATTCCAAACATAACAGTGCAAAGAAAAATCTGTCTTCATAATATCCTGATGTAATCTGTTAATCCTTCAGCTGCAGATAAACGCGTTACCTGGTTGCTGTATTTATCTGTGGGCCTGGCTGTCCCTCTGCAGCCCGAGCTCCAGTGCTCAAAGCCAAGGAGTGCTGGAACTCAAATCCTCCTGCGCCCTGGGACAGGGAGCTGCCTGGGAAGCAGCCCTAGATGTTGCAAGCCCCAGCCCAATTCCCTTTCCATATCTCTCACCAATTTCCTACAGTGAGAAAGGTTCTAAGCCTCCTGCCTGGCCGCTACCCTTCTCAAGCACACAAACAACTATCCAATTAAGCAATTGCCTTACGGAGTGGAAGGAATGGGAATTACTGTTAAATTATTTATTAGTTCCTCTTTCTCATCCATGCCTAGAGAATGTTTAATCTAATGCCAGAAAAGTCCTAAAAAGACACGGTCTTAAATGTGTTTTATGGAAACTGCCAGCACTCCCTGGCTCTCAGCTAACGAGAGAGATAAAACACGTGCTGTGCAATTTGCCTGACCTTAACTTACTGAACAGTTATTTTTCCTCTCTCTTATATTCATACACCACCATATTTTTTGGCTTAAGGTAATTAAGGACATGAAAGGTGCGCTGATCTGTGACGAAGCAATCCCATGTTCTAAGAATATCAGCCAGTGCTATCTGCTGAAACACTTCATGCGTAGCACCAGTGAAAAATAGTCAGTGAAACGCAACAACCTACACATATCTGGCTTCAGGAAAAAGGTTATGTGGGAACCCTTTGTTCTGCATTACGGTGCGATGCGCTGAGAGTGCAGATGTTACTGCCCTGCACAGCGCATTACAATGAGTTTACTGGTGGCCCCTGACCTCAGCTAACTATTTCATGGTAATATTCTGCTGGTTAGTGTCAGACCCATTATGCTTCATGCTATCATGCTTCACAGCTATCAAGTAACCTGCAAGTCTGATTAATAACCCCTATATTCTAACATAGGCTTCCTCTCTATCAGTGATTTCCTGCTCCTACACAGCCTTCTATAGAGTCAGTATACAGATGGGTCTGTACACATATAAAGTCATTCCTAACTCTAAGAAGCAATTCTACATATTCCCAGCTGGTAAGAGAATATTTCAATCAGTAACTAGTTATGGGACTCTTTACAAAAGATGTGTCATAATTACATGGTACTCCTCTGCTTTAAAATAATAGCACAAAATAAAGAAAACTGCTTTGCTTTGTTATGGGGCGTTTAAATACTAAACAACAACATAGTTTAAATACTAACAAACAGACCTTCTACTGACCAAAAAGGACAAACAGTTGACAACTAGCTGACAGGGTTTCATTCTTGCCCTAAAAGACAGGCTGAAGCACATCTCTGCAGGAACATCCAAGCATCACAGCCTCCAGGCAGCCAGCAGACAGGCAGGGAACAACCTGGCAGCATGTGGGAAAAGAAGTGCATGCATAAGGACAGAGCCAGGTTACAGCCACAGATAAGGGCTGCCCATGTTTAATTTGATCTTAGAGCAAAACAGCAGCATGGTAACTCTAATTTTAAAGCAAGCGTGGACCGCTCCTTGAAACACCATTTGGAAAAAGAACCTATTGGCATTTCAGTTTTATTTATCAGTGGTGCTGCTCAGTGGCATTCAACTATAAATAGAGACACACAGAAAACTGCTTTTAGGCAATGTAAAGGCCATATTAAAAATGAAGTGCGAAGTAAATCGGAGCCCAGAGCTAATCAACATCTGCTCCACTTGAACACAAACAGCTAATTCCACGAAGGCAGGACCATAACATTTATATGGTGCAGTTCCATACTTCAGCACAACCTTAAGAAAATATTTTAATTCAAAATTGAACATGAAGGTGTACAATGAACAGAGCAAAAATGTATGCAATGGAGCAGA